TAGTAGTAGTAGTAATAGACTTTTATTCAGCCAGAATTTACAGGCCGAGCATTTCGACCGCCTGTGCGACCAGTCGACGCTGTTGTTCTTCCCATTCGGCGCCGATCCAGTCGAGCCAGGAGGTGATGGAAAGGGATGGGGGAGGGTAATAGCTGGATTGCTGAGTAGTTGGGCAGTAAAACAGGCAGTGTGACAGGTCAGCGTATGGGGAGATGCAATTAGGACAGCAGGGGTTAGACCTATATTTATAAAGGAAAAGGCGAGAGGGGGTTATCAGGCAGTTCATTTAAATGTGCCGTAGAGTTCGAGCCTCAAGCGCAGTGAGTGATGGATGAGGGGGAGGGTAAAGACGCTTGTCGAGCCGGAGCTGGAGATATACCTCCTTGATAGTGTGACGCAAGGAGATCTGCCCATCGTTGTTCGCGGAGCTCTCACTGTCTTCCGAAGGTGTGGGCCAGGGAATTAACGGTGCCCGGTGCAATATATCGCGGGAAAGCTGATGAGCTAGCTCATTGCCGTTAATACCCGAATGCCCAGGAACCCAGCGGAGGAAGACAGTGGAGGGTTGAAGAGCAGAGGCCGCTCACTCGACCTCCCGGTGAAGAGCAGGGGGCAACGTGTTCTGTATGTGACGAATGGCGGCGTGAGAGTCGGAGTAAATCGTATACTAGGGGAGAGAAGGGAGTGAGGTAAATAACTGCATGGCGTGGACCATGGAAAGGACCTCGAGCGAAAGTACATTTGGCGGGTGTAAGTATGGCCCGCTGGTGTGCGTGTCAGGTGCCGAAAGGTGTGGATGGTAGATAACGTAGACACACGAGCCCCGAGGAGCCATGTATGAGGCATCCGTGTAGGCAACTCCCTGTGTAGAGAGAGGAGGATAATTATGCTGTGCTGCCGCATGACGCCGGCCAGCGTGAAGAACGGCAGACGTATTAGATGAGAGGGGAAGAATGCGAAGGTTAGAAGCAGCGGTGCTAGGTGGGAACGGAAACGGGAATGTGAGGGATATCGGCTTGGGCTAATAGCCATTGGCCTTGATGAGTGAGAGAAAGACGGGCAATCTGAGAGTCGTGGTGCAGAGAAATAAGAGAACGTAATGGATGGAAGAGGCTTGTGGCAAAGAGCTTAGTGGTAGAGGTAGTGACAGGGAGGTTTAGAGCTGCCTTGTACAGACCTAATAGAGCTCTTTCGAGTGTGATGAGTTGCGTTTGGGTGAAATGAACGTAGGGTACAAAGTACAAGAACTTGTTAAGGGCAAGCGCATGTGCAACCCGGCACTCATGAGCCTCGTGGAGCCCCGACTGCCGAGTGACAACGCGTCGCAGGAGGTGGGTCACCGAGTGGCAAGTCCTCACAGCGTGATGTAGGGCCTGCGCGTTCTTTGTCGCGTGCAAAGGAAGCCAAGAACTTTGCATTGCTGAACAGTGGAGATGAGAGAGCTAGAAAGATGTAGGGAGATGAGGGTATTGTGGGAGTGCTGGTACGCAGACCGGTTTAGCAAAAGTAGTTCACATTTTCCGGTGCAAGGGACAGGCCAGTAGTAGCGAGAAAGGAAGCGATAAGGTCCAGGCCACGTTGCAAAGTATCCTGCACGTGGCCGGGACATCCAGACGTACAGCAGAGAGTGATGTCGTCTGGATAAAAAATATGGTGGAGGTCAGGTATTTGGGACAGTTGGGAGGCAAAGGGGGCCACAGCCATATTAAATAGAGTAGGAGATAGTACGGCACCTTGAGGAGTGCCGCGGGTGAGGGAGTGTGGGTTAGACAAATGAGTATCGACTCTAAAGCGAGCAACTCGATTGGAAAGAAATGATCGGATGTAAGAATACATGCGGGAGCCACATGACAGGGAGCAGAGCTGAGCGAGTATGTGGTCATGACTCACGCCATCGAATGCCTTCCGTACATCGACGGTTACAAGCGCATGGATCTGACTATGAGAAGGTGAAATAAAAGTATGCTGAAGAACAAGGAACATGTCCTGCGCACAAACGTGGCGTCGGAAGCCATTAAGATAAGGAGGGAAAAACTCTTTCGCCTCAATAAAATCAGACAGTCGAGTCAAGGCCATTCGCTCAAGAGTCTTGCCAACGCATGACGTCAAAGAGATAGGGCGAAGGTTAGAGAGAGATGGAGGTTTGCCCGGCTTCGGAATCATGCAAATTAGAGAGGATGTCCAAGAGCTTGGAAGACAGCCGCTGTTCCATGCTTCGTTGAATGTGTGTAAGAGAAATTCCTTCGCGTTGTCAGGAAGATTACGTAGTGTAGTATATGTTATCTCATCCTCACCGGGTGCCGAGAGGGTAGATTGAGTGGCTAAGGCAGCTTCCAGCTCCCTGAGCGTGAATAGGGGGTCCAGGTCTGGGTTAGCTTCGCCACAGTAATCTGGGTAGGAAGGTGTGAGGGGAGGTGGGAGATACAGAGATTTTAAATTTTCAAACACACATCAGATGGAGTCCCTTGAGGGAGAGCTTTAGCTAGGGTGGGAGCAACGGCAGGCTTGGTACCTAAGAGAGACCTAAACAGAGACCATGTAGAGCGCGAGTATAGTGCGGAGTCAAGGCTGTCACACAACGTGTTTCAACGAGAGTGCTCGAGAGAAGTGCCGTAAGCGATAATTTCAGCCCGCAGAGCATCAATTCGGAAGGAAAGTTGGACGTTGTGTGGCTGGGAGCGGAGAGCGCGTTTCAAACGTTGATGATGTCGCCATAAGCGGAGGAAGTGAGGATCAGGGTCAGGAATCAGGGTCGTTGACCTGCGACGCCATGAAGTCCATTTCCGTCGATAAGTCATCAGCTGAAGTGATGGAAGGCAAAACTTCGGTGATGGAAGGAACGATGCTCGTCGAAACGCGCTTGTCGACAGACTCGGAATTTCCAATGGGTAGGCCAGACGCAGATGAGGTGGGGAGAGCAGCAGGCGTGGTTGATTGCAACATCAACGCTGCAATACGGCTCTCGGGCTGCGGCGTTCGCATAGCTATCAAGCTGGGAGTAGCAGAGACGCCACCAGCGTTGCACGTTGCTGGACCGTGCGCGCTGTTGAGGAACGCTGCCTGTTGCTGTATTGTTGTCGGCGCAGGGCTGGTGATATTGCCAGATGTTGACAGCGGAGGCACGGCTGTATCAACGGTACGACCGGAGGAGGCTGGGCTTACCGACAGGGCGTCAGTTGTTGTTGGTGTCGAATGCTGGGGGGGACGCTGCATCGTGGAGGTGCAAGCGCGGCACGTTAGGGTTAGCGCAGCGCCGCTTCGTACTTTTGAAGGGGCCTAGAGGGCCAGCCTGGAGTCAGACTGGGGCCCAGACGGTGTCTGCGTGTCCCAGAAGTCTTCTAGAAGGAATGGTGAGCTTGTCCAGACACGGGCGGGGCCCGGTAACGGGCCAAGAACACATGAAAGCGGAGCACTGTATGCGGCCAGCCAAACAAAACGGCGCCACCTGGCGGTCTCCAGGGTGAGGTAACATTTAATATCCACGTGCATCGTTAGTTGCCGTACCTCGGTGTCCGGGGTCGCGTCTCTTCCTATGCGCAGCTTTTATGGGCCCACACCACTAAACATGGCAATTTTAGCTTCATAACATGCCCTGGTGGGCCCTGCAGGCTCGTCAAAGTAGCTGGGACAAAATTCATTTTTGGTCACAAGTGTCGCATGCTAACACGCCATCAGAACGTGCCGTGACACGCACACACTCGCTGGATAGGCTACTACGGTGGCTACGCCACTACGGTGTGTGCTCGGAGGCGCCCGGTTATTGCGGCGACTCCCCAACGACAGCCCCGCACCGCGGATGTGACGTCACGTGAAAACTACGTAAATGCATGTCGATGATGAACACCCGCCTTTCCAATCAATTCGCTCACGATGGCCTAATTATCCTCGGTGAGTACATCATTACTTATCATGTGTGCACAGACATGCGAAATCAAAGACGTTCGGCAGGAAGGATTACAGCAGCTTAATTTAAGAATAGGTAGCGCTACGACTTGTGTACAATAAGCATATGGCAAAATAGTCACATACGTAACGCATCAAATTGCCTAAAGCAATTGCTTTTTTTAACAAAACCATACTCCGGGCTTAGAGGTGCCTGAATATCAGTAAGAATGCATATACACGCACACACACGCACACACACGCACGCATGCATGTATGTATGTCGTGCATAGTGTGCTTGCATATATCTGCTTTGAATATCAACTAATACCAACACAATATTTATTAGAAACCAAACAAGATAGATCGAGGAATGAAAGCAAGAAGCAATCCTATTCCAATCAGAACTATTCCATTGGCTCCAATGGCGAGCAATTACATTATTTCAGAGCTCCATTATAAAATCTTGACAGCCGGAACATAAACTTTGCATTTTCGATGATACAGCTGCGATGAACGCGAAGTGAAACAGTCACAGCGATGTTATAAATTCTGCGAACTCCCCCTTCTCCCCCCCCCCCCCCCCCGTAAAAAATCGTCTGCCACTACACGACCACTCCAAACCGCTATACTATTACGAGAGTGCAAACAACTTCAATCGTATTTTGCTACTGTAAAGACGCTATAGGTGCTCACCGTGACATGGTAGTAACCGTCTTGTCGTTTCCCTTCATTGTAGTGACTCCCTAGATAAGTGGCGCCGTTGTAGACGAAGGATTTTTCACGCTCATCCGGCAGGCAAGAACATTCTAGAGACGGTTTCGGTGTTTGTAAACAAACTGGCTCACGCCGTACAGCCTACCCCAGCAGACTTCCGGTGCAGCACTTCCGGTAATGTTTTTTTCCATGGTCCCGGCCAAGGAGGTTCAAATAAATCTTGCCGAAGTGAAGGCCTCCTATACATGCCAACGGGGCGCAGTGAAGCCAAGTGCGCGCAGCGGCCATCTTGGCATAGGCAAGATACGAGAGCCAAAGTGCACCCGCCTCGTGTTACCGCCGTGGTTTTCAAATGTTATGGCGGGAATTGGGGAGGAACTGTCTAGAATAAGAAGTCAAATGGCAGACAAGAATACAGTCTACTTTATTCTGTTTCTTTTTGGTGTTTTCCTCGCAAGCATACACACCCACTAAGGGTTTAGCTGGCTTTTAAAAAGAAGCATACTCATGAGAGCAGACCCCACATTCTCGGCACTCATTTTCCGATTTATTTTATTCATGTGAGGATTGTCATGCATAGGTAGAGTTCGACCCCTTTCCTTGCGTGAAATATGAATGTGGGTGTTCCAAGCATCACACATAAGAACATGCTCATTGATAAAAATATGCTCATGAATGCTTTCATCTAAAGCCACTACTTTTCTCAAGACAAGCTCAATAGCTTCAGAAACAGTAGTGTTGTTTTGCATAGACATGCAAAATAAGGTTTGAAGAGATGCTAAACCATGGAAAGAGATTAGATGGGCAGAGAAAGTGTTCCGTTATTTGTATAGGAACAGCGTTGACACACAGTGGAGAAAAAAAAGTTTACTAGTAAATATACGGCAGGCAGTGTAAGCAGTATGGCAACAAAGAGCGTTAAACTAAAAGCCAGAGAGGCCGAGAAAATTTGCTTGATGGCGCCAACAGAGGAACAAAATGGCTCTGAGTAACTACCAAACAGGCAAAAATGTAATGTAATAAGGATTGAGGCATTCAAGTCAAAGAACTTTAATGTTTCAAGCGAGGGCAGGTTGCCCTAGAATACGCAGCTATAAAGCAAAATTTTGTAAAGAAGAACAATGCATATTTGGGGGACAAGATAAGAAAAAAACGGAGCATGTTCTGATTGAATGTGGAGATATACACTCAGACGCACGCTTTGGCACAAGCCAACATGAAGCCTAGGGTTTTATGGATGACAATGCAAAGCTGAACATGCCCATGACAGAACTAAGTAAGAGATGGTTAGACTTCATCACAATAGACAATTAAGGCATTAGGCCAAATTCAAAAGGAAAAAAACTTTTTTTTCCTTCATTTGTTGAGCCAGATGACACTTTTCACCGCCCTGTCATAAAGGGGACGCTTATAGCATCCGTCTATCCAACCAGTGAGGTTCATTCGTAGAAATAAAATTATAACTGCTTTATTTTTGGCGTTGCTACTTGCACGAGGATATCAGTGCGTTACACTGTTTAAGAAGCGATGAAACCGACACGTTTATTTGTGTCGCAGGTCCCCTTTCATGAGCAAACCATCGCAAAATAAACAGAATTCTAACATTCCACTTCCAAAGAAACACGGCCACTGTGGCCCTGGAATGATTCCGCAGCCTCCTTTCGTGTCCTGTCTCTGCAGAATTTGTCCGTCTTCCACCCCCGCCCCCAGCTTTTTTTTTTTCAGTACGACTGGTTGAACTCTCATTGATCGAAATGAAGCCTCAAACAATATCGTGCCTAAACAAGGGTCACACTCCACAACAAACTAGAGCCCTTCTGAATTAACAAATTTCTTTTTTGATAACGCCTTCAGCCAGAAGAAAGTCGTAGAGCTTCCTTGTCTTGTTGACGTCAATCTTGATGATTGCTCGAGCATTGGCAAGGCGCAGTGAGCCCAGCTTCTCGTATTCATTGATCAGCAGTTCCTTGAAGTGGAGGTACATCTCTGGCATGATGCGGAGATCTGCACAGAGCTGAAGCACATTGTGAGAATAAAATAGAACATGCTGCGCTTACCTTCTACCACAGATCAGCATTTCGAAAAAGAATACTCATCCATACAAACTCACCCTAATTTTTAACACGAAAGTGTTTTCAGCCAGGGTCAACCACGGCTGCACTGACATATTTCCATCACAGATTTGACATTGTAAAATATATAAGAGATAAGAGTTTGAAACCTCAGTCAAATTCTTGCGAATATTTACATTATTTTTTTTGTTAAGAGGTTTTATATATATATATATATATATATATATATATATATATATATATATATATATATATATATATATATATATATATATATATATATCATCATCATCATCATCATCATCATCATCATCATCATCAGCCTGACTACGTCCACTGCAGGACAAAGGCCTCTCCCATGTTCCCATGTTATATATATATATATATATATATATATATATATATATATATATATATATATATATATATATATATATATATATGTATATATATATTGTAAAGAAGAGGAAGTACTCCGGCGCAGAGGCAGCAGCATCGAGTGTGCAGCAGCGGCTCGAGCTCGGAAATTGCGGCTGGTGCATCGCCTTCCAAGCCTTCCAAGCGTCAACCTTTCTGCTTAATAAATCTCCTTTATAATTGGTGGAGCCGTGCCGGGTACCGTCCCTTACACCTTCCCGCTACCATCCTGGAACTCCGTTCTCGACGGCTACCTTCTGCTATGCCGGACGCCGATCAGCAGACGCTTCCGTCTTTTCCGGCCATTTGTCCAGGCAGTGTTCCTCAGCGGGAGCCTCCAATCTTCAGTGGAACAGATGACAACGACGTTGAAGAGTGGCTCTCGACTTTCGAACGGGTGAGCGTTTTAAACAGATGGACGGACGCGGACAAGTTGACACGCGTTTCGTTCTATCTCGCGGGTGTAGCCAGCCTTTGGCTTAGAAACCACCAGGCAGATGTCCGAATGTGGCCGCAATTTAAAACGTCGATTGTAGCAGTCTTCGATCGACCTGCCGTCCGAAAACTTCGTGCCGAGCAACGTTTACGCACACGCGCACAAGAAACGGATGAAACCTTCACAAGTTACATAAAGGACGTCGTCGATTTGTGCAGACGCGTGAACGCCGAAATGACGGAAGCTGAAAAATGTAAGCACATCCTCAAAGGGATTGACGACGACGCTTTTCAAATGCTCTTGGCGAAAAGCCCGACCACTGTTAACGACGTGATTAGCCTCTGCCAAAGCTACGATGAATTGCGGAAGCAGCGAGCTCTGACAAGACGTCCTCCAGCGCACGATTTGGCATCGCTGTCTAGCGTGATCAGTGGTCATGACCACGCGTCACTAATAGCCGAAATAAAAGCATTTGTCCGCGAAGAAGTTGCACGACAGCTTTCCTTGGTGCCTTTCACACCAGAAGCTACCACAACTTTACCATCGTCTCTACGTGACGTCATTCAAGGAGAGGTCGCCGAGGCCTTACCAATTGCTCGCGAGCCTAATCTGGTGGCTGCTCCTCTCACCTACGCCGCGGCTGCAGCCATGCCAATTCGCAAGGCGCCTGCGCCTCCTTTCCAGCCTCGCGCGAGCTATCCCCCAGCTCCAGTTCACTGGACCAGCACTAACACCGCCAACCCGTGGCGCACCCTCGATAATCGCCCGATATGTTACGCTTGTCTATACCCCGGACACGTCGCAAGGTATTGCCGCCGCCGGACGCATATCACCAATGAAAACCGCCGTGAGCCTTTCTTCCCGCTTGAATCCAACGCGCGATACGGTTCCTCCACTCCAATGCCAGCCCGCTACCAGGACGACCACCGCCCTCGGCCGGGACGTCTTCGCTCGCCCTCTCCACGCCGCCGCTCGCCTTCTCCTATGCGTCGACGGCCCGCACCTAACGAGGAGGAAAACTAGACGACGCAGTTCCTGAGGCAAGAACTGCGCAAGTTTCGGTTTGCCCAAGTCCTCATTTGTCACCTACCAATGTTATTGATGTGTTCGTCGAAAATATCCCTACTGTCGCTCTTGTAGATACTGGCGCAGCTGTTTCGGTAATAGATGCTGGATTTTGTCGCTCAATTCGTAAGGTTACGACGCCTTTCTCCGGATTATCGCTTCGCACAGCCAGTGCTCAACCTGTTCAACCGACCGCAGTATGTACAGCCCGCGTGACAATTCAGGACGTTCTGTATACGATAGAGTTCGTTGTTCTTTCATCATGCTCCCATAATATTATTTTGGGATGGGACTTTTTGTCGCGTCATAACGCCGTAATCGACTGTGCTAGGGCTGAGGTCGAATTTTGCTCACTGGATGACCAAGCGTCCGTCGACACCCAGTTTGCCGCTAAACTTGTCGTTAGCGATGACACCTACATCCCTCCATGCTCTTTTGCGTTCGTGCCAGTTTCATGCAGCGCCATATCCGACGGCACGGTCTTCTTCACACCATCTCCAATATTCGTCGCCCGAAGAGCTCTCCCCCTGCCTTTTGCTGCTCTCGATCTTGTACAAGGGTCAACCACAATGCCAATTTATAATCATGAGTCGTCGTCTTTATCTCTACTTTGTCGCGAGTGCCTTGGCCACGTCGAGACAATCAGTTCTTCCAGAATTATATCCGTCCCCGATGAGGTGCCTTCTACCTCCGTCTGTGAACTGGCTGTCGTCTCAGCGCCTGACTCAACGTCGGCAAACATATTTCAACCATTCATCGCTGCAGATTTGACATCTTCGCAGCGTTCACAACTCCTCACCATTCTTGAGAGCTACCGCCACTCTTTCGACGTTGAACAAGCATCTCTCGGCCGTGCCTTAGCAGTAGAACACCACATCGACACTGGGTCCCACTCACCGCTGCGACAACGACCATATCGCGTGTCCGCTACAGAACGCCGCGTCATTGCTGACCAAGTAGACGACATGCTTCGCAGAGGCGTCATTCGACCTTCACAGAGCCCATGGGCGTCTCCGGTGGTTCTCGTCAAAAAGAAAGACGGTTCTATTCGTCTCTGTGTCGATTTCCGGCAATTGAACAAGATCACGCTGAAGGATGTCTATCCACTACCGCGCATTGACGATGCTTTGGACAGTTTGCAGGGTGCCGAGTTCTTTTCCTCGTTAGACTTGCGGTCAGGCTACTGGCAGGTGCCTATGGCGGAGGCCGATCGCCCCAAAACCGCTTTTGTCACGCCAGACGGCTTATATGAATTCACCGTCATGCCCTTCGGACTTTGCAATGCACCTGCAACGTTCGAACGAATGATGGACAACATCCTGCGTGGACTAAAATGGAAGATATGCTTGTGTTACCTCGATGATATCGTGGTCTTCGCCCCTAACTTTGACACACACTTACGTCGCCTTCAGCACGTCCTTACTTGCTTAACTAACGCCGGTTTGCAATTAAACCTCAAAAAATGTCGATTTGCCATGCGTCAACTGAACATTTTGGGCCACGTTGTTTCCAAGGAAGGCATCCTCCCGGATCCCGAGAAATTGCGAGCTGTTACGGCGTTTCCTAAACCTGCCACCATCAAAGAACTTCGAAGTTTCATCGGCTTATGTTCGTATTTCCGGCGATTCGTCCGAAACTTCGCGTCTATTATATCACCTCTCACGCAACTTCTCAGCAGCTGTAAAGACCTCTTATCGTGGTCCCCTGCCTGCGACGAGGCTTTCACCACCCTGCGACGGCTTCTTACGACGCCACCCATTCTACGCCATTTCGATCCTGAAGCTCCCACTGAAATCCACACCGACGCCAGTGGTGTAGGCCTGGGTGCTGTGCTCGCACAGCGTAAACAGGAACATCAGGAATACGTCGTGGCATACGCCAGTCGCACACTTACCAAGGCTGAGAGCAACTACAGCGTCACAGAAAAGGAGTGCTTGGCCATTGTGTGGGCCCTTGGAAAGTTTCGCCCATATCTATATGGTCGTTCTTTTGACGTCGTGACCGACCACCACGCGCTGTGCTGGCTTTCGACGTTAAAAGACCCATCTGGCCGCCTCGCTCGCTGGGCGTTGAAAATTCAAGATTACAACATACGCGTGGTTTATCGGTCAGGACGGAAGCATGCTGACGCCGACGCCCTTTCCCGTTCCCCCCTGTCCCAGAATGCCACAGCTGACTCCGCTTGCGATTCCACATTGTCATCACTTGACTTTGACACCATTGCTATCGAACAACGCAATGACCCGTGGACTGCGTCTCTCCTCAATCATCTCTCCGACACTTCTGAACTCCTAAAGACGCGAACGCTTCGGCGCCAAGTTCCACACTTCTCGATACGTGACACGCTTCTCTATCGACGTAACTACGCACCAGAGGGACGCAAGTGGCTGCTCGTCGTTCCACGAACCCTGAGGTCGCAGATTTGTTTCTCTTTTCACGCTGACCCACAATGTGGCCACGCAGGAGTCTTCAAGACCTACGAAAGACTTCGACATCGCTACTACTGGCGTGGCATGTATACCTTCGTCCGCAACTTCGTCCGCTCTTGTGCCGAATGTCAGCGCCGAAAATCTCCACCACACGCCTCCGCCGGTGAACTGCAGCCTTTACCATGCCCGTCCCGACCCTTCGAACGGGTTGGAATAGATATTTATGGGCCACTTCCATTGACTCCGACTGGCAACAGGTGGATAATAGTTGCTATCGACCACCTAACGCGCTATGCTGAGACCGCTGCTCTTAAAACGACTAGAGCACAGGAGGTTGCCACTTTCCTACTGCGCCATTTTGTGTTGCGTCATGGAGGCCCTCAAGAACTCCTCAGTGACCGCGGCCGCGCCTTTTTGTCCGAGGTCATTGAAAAATTGCTCGCCGAGTGTGCTATTGTACATCGCACATGTACCGCTTACCACCCACAAACCAATGGGGCTACCGAGCGCTTTAATCGTACTCTCGGTGACATGCTGTCTATGTATGTGACGCCTGACCACTCTAACTGGGACTTAGTTCTCCCATTCATTACAT